TATATATATAAATATAAATATATAATAATAATATATTATATATATTATTATTATTATTATTATTATTATTATTATTATTATATATTTATATTTTTATATTTATTTTATTATGTTTTTATATTTATTTTTATATTTATATATTTATTTTATATTATTTTATACTTTATATTTATTTTATATTTTGAAATATTATTCTTGAAATGGTATTATAATATACTTACGTTGAAATATTATTTTTGTAATTGTAAATATAGCACAGAAGAGGTTCATGCGCGATGCGTTACAAACGTGCGCCGTCACAGTTTTTATCTTCCACGTTATTCAGCGGGAGAAGGGCGGTAAGTCACGTTTAAACAACAAAAATCCACCTGCCGCTGCATAACTATGCCGGTTATACAAAGGCAATTATTCGCGCTGGACGCACATGTTTCTATTATGAGGAATGTTCGAAAACAACATGGTAGCGTAGCGCGATAATGCGGGATATTTAGCGAATAATGATAGACAATTTTTTAGGACTAGAAAAAAGACATCTCTCTCTCTCTCTCTCTCAGAAGAGGCGAAGGAATGTTTCATACGAGTCCGGAAATGTTTCTCCCGCAATGTTTCTTTCGCAATGTTGAGGCAACCGACCGCTATGCTCTAGTAGTGCGCGAAATGATTCTACAACAGAAAACTGAATTTGTAGTCGCGATCAAGCTTTTTAATGTCAACTCCAACGGTCGAATAATTGAGCGTTTGCAAAAAAAAATCAATGGGATATTTGTTTTACGTGATTCTTATATTTACATTTGGAAATTTAGACTTTTAAGCTGAACAATATATTAATAAAATTGGCAGCGCCAAGTTTCTTTAATTAAATTTTTTTTTACTTTCTTGTTTTATATTAATTTTCATTTTTCAATTTTTAGATAAATTTTTAATTTTTTAATATTATTATTTTTGAAAATTAAATCAACCATTTTGTATAACAATGTTTTCAATTAAAATATTTCGATTTAACTTGTACAAGTTTTCTTCCTTGTACTTCTATTTATCTTGTACAAATTTTTATTCTTAGTTCTTAGCGATTTTTTTATATCACTACTTTTGTAGACAATATGACAGTTGGATACAATTAGTGCATGAACTTGGCGCCCTTTTTTTATCTTTTTTTAAAAGGGTAAGTTTTTGAGGATTCTTATTTCGCACGTGTATTTTTGAATCTATTATACAAATTATTTCTTTGTTTTTTACCTATATGCATCTCGCTATCTTACTGTCAAATGAGACATTGCACTTATTGTAAATGAATGTCGGCGTTAAGGGGTTATACCTAGTCAGCAAGTCGAAAGAAACGTATTTTTGAGGAATTTAAAAAAACTGTTAGGTATTTTTATTTCATCGATCTTTATCATAATATATATCTATCAAAGAAGTTTTCATAATTTTTTCAGTTAAAAATATCGAGAAATGTAGGCACAGTAGCTATTTTCCAGAGACATCATTTTTCGGAGGCACTTGGCGGTGAGCAAGATTACTCGGAGCTGGATCATCTGAAATAAAAAATTCAAAAGGATTTAGCTTTCGTATGAATTGATCTAGTTCGTGAACGAAGGGATTTTAATTTTGATGAAACCTTTTTTTTTTATTAACAAAAGAACGAAAAGTTTTAATACAAAAAATTCGTATTTTTGCGTCAAACGTCTGTCACATTATCAAAAATCAATTTTTTGTAAAATCCTTCGTTCACGAACTAGATCAATTCATACGAAAGTTAAATTCTTTTGAATTTTTTATTTCAGATGATCCAGCTCCGAGTAATCTTGCTCACTGCCAAGCGCCTCCGAAAAAAGATGTCTCTGGAAAATAGCTACTGTGTCTACATTTCTCGATATTTTTAATTGAAAAAATTATGAAAACTTCTTTAATAGATATATATTATGATAAAGAATCGATAAAATAAAAATACCTAACAGTTTTTTTTTTAATTTCCCAAAAATACGTTTTTTTCGACTTGCTGACTAGGTGTAACCCCTTAAAGGAATTTTGGCGAAGATGGAAAATCTCACGATAGACAAGAAATCTCGCGACCGGCAAGATTTCCGGTGGAAACCGTAATTTCCGTTTGAGATAAATTAATTGGACAACCGCGCGTACTCACTATATCTCGTATAAATACAATCTTGAAACGAGCGTAATACGCAACAGCCTTGTACTAAAAAGGCACGAAACCGTAAGTTCGCTTTTCGTTCTCGTTTAAATTCTTATCAACGCGAGTTCTGTATGGAAGTTCATCGCACGTTGCGAAAAGCAATTTTTCACACATTGTTGGCACAATTTCTCTAAAGAACGCGCAATTTTTTTTAATTCTTAGTTACGTATAACACTTGCACGAACGGAAAAAAAATTAATTTGATATCGATTGGCGCCTCGGTGATAATTACCTAATAATTACGAGTTTTTTTCCAGAAAAAAAAAGTAACTATTACCTTCGTGTTATTTTATTTTTTACGATTACAGAAATTTTTATGTAATCTGATTGATCTGATTGAATTTGTTATGCACTTTGAAATTTTTTTTGTATTTATTAGTTTTTATTAGGATATTTACACTCTGGAAAAACATGGGAAATTCTAAAAATGTTGTATCTGGAAAACTCAAGAAATTTACATAGAATTTTATTGAAATTCAAGAAATTAAAAAAAAATATTTTCTCAATAATAATTTGGTCTTATGTTTAAACCATCAGTAATCCGATAAGCTAAAATGAGAAAAATATCCGGTGAAAAGGTAACGAACGGATGTTACCCGATTATTAACCGATCACTTTAATCGGAAAAAAAAGAAACCGATCAGAAAATATCGATCGATCAGATATCTGATCAGAAAGTTCAAAATTCGGAACTTTCCGATCAGATATCCGATTAAAGTGATTGGTATAATATCCGTTCGTTACCTTTTCATCGGACATTTTTATAAATGAATTAAATATTTTAAACATGTTACAAATGCATATTTATCTCTATTTATATATTCAATGTCTTAACAAACTATTGAATATATGACACGTATTCTTTATTGTAATTTTTAGTGATAAAAAAGTTTACGAAAGCTATTCAATTTTTTTCATATACATTTATAATATTTTTCATATACATATATAATACATTTGCAAATCTAACACTTGAAACTCAAGTGACTCTATTTTTTGTTTTGAATATGAACGAAGAAAAGCGTTAGAAAACGCATGCAATAAAGAAAGTTTTATCTTCAGGAAAGATTTTTAAATTTTCTTTACCTGGCATTTTTTTACATGATTTAATTAGATTTCTTCATTCTGTTCACCAATGTTTTTTTATCAATGAATCTTTTTCTTGAAAGTAACTTTCTTGATTTATTTAGAGACTCATTAAATGATGTAAAGATATTTCTTTTGCTCTCTTTTACTTTTTTATGTTATTTCATTATTATATATGTAATATTATATAATATTATATAATATTATTATATAATATAGACAATTATTTTTATTAATATATATAATACAGACAAGAGTATTTTCGTACAATTTAAATTGAATAACTTTTTTAAGAGTCCATCTTAAATTATTTATTTCAGAGAGGATTGACTTTTGACCGATAGAGAGATAATAAAGTCAATTTTTGTATTTTTATGAGGCAATGATAAACAAAAATCTTCTGTTATAATTCCACATTTGACCTCGCAACTTTTCGGACTTTCATTAAATTATCACAAATCAAAGATAAATTTTAAATTAAAAAATGTTAAAGTCATAAAGATAAGACAATCATGAAAAGTGAACATCAGAAACTTTTAAACGTCAGTCTAATTTATGTAGATAATTTGTCCAAAAATATCTTTAACTTTGATTGCTAATTTATCTCCATCACATACTAATTCGTATTTTCGCATAATTGAAAGTCCGGGAAAATAAAAGAAAAAACGTACGAGAAAAAAATTTTTAATAGATATTTATTGGATTTCAACAATTTCACAGAAATCAAATTATTAGTTACACTTGATAGCATTAAAAATTCAACATATTCGAAATTATTATATAAGTTTGATCAGGCACTGAGAAAAAATCTGGTTGCATTAATTAGAAATCTGGTAAATTCAATCAGTTTGTTGGAAAATCGACGAATCAAAATTCCTTTAGGAATTATCAGAATATAATTTCTTCCTGTTAAATTTACCAAATTTTCTTGATAATAATACTAAATTTAAATAAAATGACGTGTTTAAAGTTTTATCGATCCAACTAGAAAATACTAACCAAAATTTTATAATAAAATCTATTAAACGGTCTAGTTATAAAAAAACGAGGCTTCTCGTGATAACTAGAAATTCTGCTTGAATCAAAATGTCTTCTATCACACTGGTCAACACTCAAATTTTTTCCTGACATTTAACATGTTATTAGTTATATCTAAGGCACTGATTGAAAAAAATACTAGTTTAGTTGTATCAGTTCTACTTTTTTATTTATTTTTTTTATTTATTATAATTATATCGATTATCGATATTTTTGAAAGATGTATTCGCCACAAATATAACAAAACCTATCTGGATTATGTAAACAACGTCTCTGAGTCGAAGACAAAAATCGAAAGTTAAAAAAATAATAATTTTGAGTCGAGTAAAACTCAAAAAAACTGCACGTGATGTCTAAAGGGGGTAATCTGAAAATATTAAAAAACAAGAGCTGTTAAAAAAAAACTACTGTCGTACTCGAAATCAGCACACTTGAATAAGTCCAAAACTGCAAAATTATAAGAGGAAAGAGTTGAAATTATTTTGTTTGTTGACCAATGCCATATACGTCTTGTTGATACGATTAAACGATTTTTCTCAGCGTATGTGTCGGAAAAAAAACAACATGTATACATTAGAGCGAGCGGTGACCCATGATAACGATTTTTTAATCGGTGTTACCAATTGACCTTGCGTGGAACAAATGTGTCATCTTGAGTCAACGATCATTCCTTTTGTTTCAGAGACGCATCGCGAATCTCGCCGGCGGGCAAGAGGGACGCGCGGAAGAGAAGGAGATGACACGCGGAGTCACGCGAAAGAACGAAGCTGCGACTTTTCCGCGCACGCGCGGGCGACGATAGGGGAAGCGAGCGGTTTTAAAAACGCTGAATGACAGACGATTCCTGTCTGGTTGCCAGCGATCGGCAGTCGCTTAAAGTGCCGACAATTTATCCGGTTCATCCGAGTTTCGCGATCTCCCTCGATCGCTGACAGGTCCTCTTTCTCTATCCATCTTGGCCGTACGAGCAAGGGATTCGTCTCTTCCTCGACATCGAGCGATAAAACACAGCGAGACAGCAGTGGACACGATGTAGGCTGGTGATCCGACCGAGAAGGAATTTTTGTTAACTCGTGAACTCGAAGAAACGCGAAAAACCGAGGAGTCAGAAAGGGGTGAGAAAGACGCGAGGATGAAGACGATGGGCGATGTCGTTGCCGATCCCATCGACGAGGACGATGGGACGATGCAACCGAGCGGCGCGAGCAAGGAATTCGGTCAGAGGACACTGAGATCCTTGAAGAGAGGACTGGGCCGACTCTGGAGACGACACAGAGGTAACGTGTCGATAACCGACTACGATCCCTCCTACAAGGTCGCGTATCTCGGAAACGTGCTGACCGGATGGGCCAAGGGTGAGCGAAACTTTGATCTTATGAAATTACACAGAGAAAAATGTATACTGTACTCAAGTAAATATTATTTATTTTAAGTATATCATGAGTTTGTATATTCGCAAATATATCATAAATTTACCACAAGCATTAAATTTAATTGAATATATTCTGAATTTTAGTAAGTGCAGTATTTTAGTCAAGAATATTAAATTAAAAGAAAAATTTGACTTGCTTACTACAAGAGTTGACGTAAAGTAAGTTTGATTTTTTTTTATACAACTTTACAATATTCTTGAAGAGAAAATAAATTCTTCTTTTGAGTACATGATAATGAGATTTTCTAACACTTGTGATGAGTATATTTTAAGATTATTATCAAGAATGTATTCTTTGTTGAAGAAAATTATTACTTAAAAAAAGAAAAATAAACTGAGTAATCGCTTTTCTTGGCAGTAGAATGACATTTTTCTCTGTGTACTTTTATCATTACGATTTATATTTTATAATTTTATCATATACGAATGAGAGAGATAAGCTTCAATTTAACGGATGGACAAAAGATTCTATGCTATTTAATTTGATATTTTAATAAAGTAGTTTTTTATTATAGAAAATTAATAATTTTTAATATTTAAAGAAATTTAATCAAACTATTATACATATATGAAATAAATAATTAAATATTATTTCGTAAGGATTACGCAACTCTTTTTAAATTTTACATAAATTATTTTATTTTATAAATAATCTCTAGACAAAATATTTCTAAAAAAGAATAGAGAAAAAAATTTTATCACCATACGAGACGGATATAGATTTAATAAAGGATAAGATTGTCATAATTTATTAAAATCATTGAGAATATTCAATAATTCTCTGAACTTGTCACTTGTACATAAAAACAAATTTTAATATATTTGAATAAGAAAAAAAATAAATTACGTACATATGAATTTAAAATAAATAATTTGCATACATATTGTCATATATAGAATCTTATTACTAGCTAAAATATTCACACACACTCACATAATTAACTATTATTTAAACAATAATAAATAGTTTCTCTTTCATTTATAACAAATAATATATCTATGAAAAAAATCCCTTTATTAATCATAAAAATGTTGCATAATTATAACTAAACATTTCTTAAATTTATCGCCCAAGTTATATCAAACTAAAAGTAGAGTTTAGTGAAAGTGTTATTTATCTCTATAAACATAAGTGTAAATTACGAACATTATTATTTGCAAAAATTGACAATCGATAAAAGATATTTATCTGTATAAACGTAAGTGTAAATTGCGAACATTATTATTCGCAAAAATTGACAATCGATAAAAGATATTTATCTATATAAACATAAGTGTAAATTGCGAACATTATTATTTACAAAAATTGACGATCGATAAAAGATTTGCCTTATCAATTATCGAGACTGGTCGATATTTTATCGTCGTTCAATCGAGTTATCGGGCGATATAAAAAGTGGACCAGGGTTTATTCGAACGGCATTCGTCATTGGTAATTACGTTTCCAGATAAACGGCAATTAAGAACGATAGATATCGCGTACGTGCGCGTATTCCCTCGATTGTGCAGCCTTGGTGCATAAACGATCAACCGGAAGTGCGCGATACTTCTTGGCGGTAGATCAACAAGCAACAAGATTATCATCAATTTCGAATTGGTCGAGCGTTTATTGCATATAAGTCTCACCTTTTTGTCGGTATCTCTGCGTTAAATTCCCTTTTCTCTCTTTCGCATAAATTAGGGTTGCACGAGATTAGTCTTGATATTGTCTTATCTTGTCTTGAATTTCAAGGACAAGATTTTTAATTAGTTATCAAGACTAAGACTGTCAAGATTATTAGTCTTGTCAAGATTATTGGTTCTCAAAAAGACTAAAATATTTATATTTGTAAATGAAAAAAAAAATCACAATATACGAATTTAAAAAAATTTTATTCAATAAAAACATTTATATTAATAAATTTAAAAACATTTAATATTGATACAATATAACATTTTTATAAATTAGAAATCAAACTCGCAAATTTTAGACATTAAAGAGCATTTCACCCAGGAATTGATGCACATTAGTGCTTTTAAGGATTTACTTTGTAATCTGGTTTTATTTTTTGACATAGTCAGAGTTCCTATTGAGAAAAGTCTTTCTATTGGCACGGACGAGGCAGTTGAATGTCTCGAGCCATTTTTGTGGGATAAATATGAACCTGATTTTTTTTACCACTCCAAAATATTTATATCTGCACATTCCCTTGGAGCCTGTAAATAATTATTAATTTCTGTTTTCTATGAAACAGTAAATGTTTTTTTATGTAAATAGACGGTATTTATATCGATTACCAAGTAATAATTATAATTAAAATATAATACAATAGTAATAATTATTTCAAATTATATTACAAAAATTATGTTAAATATTATTTAAATAATTTTTTAATATTAGATCAAAAATTGTTATAATAAAATCGAGACAAGACAATACAAGACGAGATTTTTGCTACCAATATTGACTTAAGACCAAGACAAGATTTAAATTTTTGAAAATTTTCAATACCAATGTAATATTTTTACGAATATTGTCTTGTCTTGGGTCTTGTGCAATTCTAGCATAAATCCTTTCTCGAGAATTTATCTCGTGTTCAAAGCGATACGAAACTTGGATTAATGTAAAATGTATTGTTTTTTTTCCCGAATGTCAAATTTATTATGTATACGATTTTGAAATCGCACATACTGCTAATCAATTTTTTGCGAAAAAATAAAAAAAGATTTGAAAGATAATAAAAAATTTGAAAGGTTAAAAAGAAATAATATATAAAAAAAATTTTTTTTGTAACAAAAGGCCACTTGACATTTTAATCGAAAAATAAAACTTTGAAAAAACATAAGAACTGATTTAGTAGATACGCTTTATTTATAATATTACTTATATTTCTTTAAAAAAAAAAGATGATTTAATCAAAATTTATTTAATAAGGGATTGAAAAATTTTGTTATTTATTCGCAAACGCTAGAGTTAATTCGGTAGATACACTTTATTTATAGCTTTATTTATCGTATTTAAAAAAAAATGATTTAGAAGAAGAAAATTTTATTTAATAAAGAATTGAATTTAATTAAGAATGAAAATAGTTAATAAAGATTTTATAAAGATTCAGTTACTTAATCTTAAGATTTGAAAAGATACCGCGCTTTCTCGACAAATTCCTTCGTCAAATTTCGCTAAACGAAAACCAGCCTCGAGTTTGCCGAGACATTTTCGCTATTTGGGAAAGTTGTGATTTCCGAAAGTGCTTTCGTGACCTTCTCTTTCTCTCTCTCACGTTCCCACCGTATTGTGCGCAAAATGACACGATCTTCCGGTTCGCTCCGTGCACGAACATCCTGAAACCGGTCGATCGCAGCCGAAATATGATCGTAGAAAACACGATCGCGACAACAAACGGAAAGTTATTCGATAAAAAAAATTCCGGTTTGTCTGACATGACATGACCGATCATCGCTGCGGGCGCGAGGTTAAAAAGGAGAAGGAATTATCTAGTGCAATGACCGGACACATAGGCGTATAAGCAACACGGAGCCCCGGACTTTCTCTCCCGTCATCCTTTCGTGGCCTCTCGATCGTCATCAACCGCGCCATTTTTACGGTACGGCTTCGCACTCGCTGACGCGCTTATTCGACCATTAATTAATTCGTAATTGTCCCCCGAGGTATGCGGAATGTTGCCGTTTAACGATATATATGTTGCATATGTTGCATGGATATAACGGTCGTACATTATGACACATATTAGTGGCACTAACCGAGATCGATCGATCGTATTTAGCGCCATGCGTAAGGAATCAGATGATGCAAAACACACACATGTAGCTGATTGAATATTTGTATTGATTGGTAGAAGTATAATATGCATCAGTAGTGGAAAATACGATAATAAGAAGAGCTAAGAAAGTGTTTAGACATTTTCTATGTAGTTTTAATATATCTTTTTTCTTAAATTGTATTTGCTTTGTAAGAGCATGCATTTTAGAATTAAAAAATCTATTTTTAAGAATTTATTTATTTAAGATTTTTTTCACGTATGTAATAATCTGATACTAAAATAATATTCTTAAATATTTCTGTATACATATAATACGCAGTTATTTAATGATCGTTTTCTTAAAATAGCAAGAACGTTGGCGTTAAAATGATAATTTAACTTAGAATTTATGGATCAAGATTTTATTGACTAAAAATTAAAGAACTTATTGATTGTTTTCATACATATAATAATCCTGATGATTAGAGTACAATTCTTGAAAGTTTCTGTATACACAGATATTTAACGAGATTTTTTTAAATAGCACAAACGTAGCATTATAATGATAATTTCATGCATTTTAGAATTAAAGAATCTATTTTTAAGAATTTATTTATTTAAGATTTTGTCACGTATGTAATAATCTGATATTACTAAAATAATATTCTTAAGTATTTGTGTACATAATACGCAGATATTTAATGATCTTTTTCTTAAAATAGCGAGAATGTTGGCACTGAAATAACAATTTTATTTAGAATTTATGGATCAAGATTTTCTTGATTAAAAATTAAAGATCTTATTGATTGTTTTCATACATATAATAATCCTGATGATTAGAGTACAATTCTTGAAAGTTTCTGTATACACAGATATTTAACGAGCTTTTTTTTAAATAGCACAAACGTAGCATTATAATGATAATTTTATATATTTTGGAATTAAAGAATCTATTTTTAAGAATTTATTTATTTAAGATTTTGTCACGTATGTAATAATCTGATATTACTAAAATAATATTCTTAAGTATTTGTGTACATAATACGCAGTTATTTAATGATCATTTTCTTAAAATAGCGAGAACGTTGGCATTGAAGTGATAATTTTACTTAGAATTTATTGATCAAGATTTTATTGATTAAAAATTAAAGAACTTATTTGATTGTTTTCATATGTATATTGT